GCCTGCGCTGAGATAAAAGGTATGGAAATTCAAATGGAAATTGATGCTGTAGGAATGTCTCCCAGCCCAACTTGATGTCAGGTATCTGCCCAGCTTAAGTCTTTGGATGTTCTCCTTTTATTTCTCAGTATGAAATTAACCCTGTCTTGCATCACCAATAATTGCACACTCCTTCTCTACTAATTGCATGTTCTTTCCCTCTACTGCCCCACTAATAGGCTGAGGGAATCACAAGCTGTAGTTTCACTTGCATTTTCTTTAGCAAACGTTTTTTTCTTCAGGTTGAGTTATTTTTAACCTGTTTCGATTCCCAAAATAGATTCACTGCCTGGCAGCATGAGAAGTTGTACCAGTGCACTTGGGAGGAACTGGGCACTGTGTGCTAGAGATGGGAAAGAAGGTCAAGGTGTCCAGAGGGAGGGCTTGGGCGTGCACTGCCGCCAAATGAAATCCCTGGGGAGGTGCAGCCTTGGCTTCTAGTTTCTCACATGCATTCACAAAGAGGTCTAAGAAATTGTCCTAATGTGCACAAGGGCCAGGGAGGCTGTTTACATCTATGAGTTGAGAACGCTCTGCCAATTTTGGGAATATATGTGATTTCCTAAGATTTGTCCTCAGCCTACCTTAAGTAGACAAACCACTAGGTGTAGGCGGGCTTTATCGCTCTCTGCCACTTGAGGTCACCCCTTTACCCTCTCCCAAAGGCAAAGGAGGAAAGCAGAGATGTAATAGCCAGAACAGGACAGTTCAAAGTGACAAATAAAGGGTCCAGGACTGAAAGAGCCACCAGTATCCCCTTGGTAAATTCCAAAGAGCTGGGACTGGAGCCTGTCATGAGTGCATCTTGTCCTCTTAGCAAAAGGAAGATGGCAAACACAAGTCACTGATTCTCCAGGAACCTTGTCCTGCCCTCCTGCTACCCAAGCTCATCCTCTCTCAGGTCAGTGAGAACTGTCAAAGGTCTGTAGAGACCTTGTGGGAGGCACTGCGGGCCCTACAGATGGGCCCCTAGGAGAGCTTCAGCCCTTACACACTGTGAGGTTCGGGGTGGATTTTTTTCTCTGTGCTTTGGCACCATGATACAAGAACTAACTCGACAGAAACTCAATGATAAAAGTTGCAAAGTGGTGACTGTCTCAGGAGCTAAATGAAGCATGGCTTGCAGAGAAAGGGAACAGCATTCATTAGCCAGCAGTAGGAACAAAAAATAGAGAAGCTTTTCAGAACACAATGCTTTGACCCTGAAACAGCAAATTCCCACTCCAGGATAAGTGGCACTGGGAAGACTTATTTTGGGTTTAAATTATGTAAAGAGAAAAAGATGGTTAATACCTGTAGAGCAGAAAAAGATATGCTAAGAGCAGAGGTGGCAAGTCCTACGTGTCAGAGACAGAGGTAATTCTCATCTGAGGAACAGTGATGGTTTGTACAGTAAGGCTGGATGGAAACAGCAAAAAGCCATAAAATATCCGCATGGTTAGACTGTGGAGGAAACAAGGTTTACTGAGTTTCATTAGATCTGCTGTAGCAGAAAACAGCACCTTAGTTTGTGGGATCAGTTTCTCTTAATGAGGTTTTCATTTCCCCAAAGCTTATTTACTTTTCCATATTACTACACTTCTCTGTAAACCAGGTCTCCCAAGGAAATACAATGCCTAAGCAATCACAGATAAAATCCTTCTATTTAAAAATGCTTCTCCAACAGAGCAGTAAAAAAAAAAAAAGTACCAGAAAAAGTCTGCAGCTTTTGAAAAAAAACCCCAAACAAACAGTTAAAAAAGAGTAAGGTCAGCAAGCTCTCTGAAGGCATTGTCCATGCAGGCAGCATCTGGCAGCAGGCATCCCTTAACCTTACCCAGCCTGAACTGACTGCTAATGGACATTTGCCCTCTGCTGCTGCTGCAGAGCCACCCCGCTGCCTTCTCTCTCCGCAGGGCTGACTCACACTGCAGTGCACACTCACAGGCACGCAATCTGCCACATTACAGAGGACTATTTATGTGCCAGCAAACACCACCTCTTTAATCAGGCACTCTATGAGTCTGTCATTTCACGCTCTGAGGTGGCCTGCTCCCCTCCCCCAAACCAAAGTCAATCCCTGCCAGATGGGGCTGCACTCCAGCACACTGCTGTCAGTAAATGAAGGAAAGGACCAAAAGGTCTGTAATTTCCTTAATGCCTTCAATAACTTGAGAAATTTGCTAATGCAACAGCATCAGTGAATGACTTGAAATGCAAGTTTTCACCCAAGAGTTATCAATGAGGATCTAGAGCATCATTGTCAGAAAATGCTTGGCTGAGGCAACATGCTCAGATTGTTAATTTGACTCCCAGTGTATTTGCAGGTACTCAGCGCAAAGCAATCCTCCCATGCATGTGTTGCGGTTTAACCCCGGGTGGGAACTCTGCCCCACGCAGCTGCTTGCTCATTCCCCCAGCCTCCCTCCCAGTGGGATGAGGGAAGAGAATCAGAAGAGTAAATGCGAGATAACTGGTGGATTGAGATAAAACAAAAGCCGCTGCACACAAGCAAAGCAAAACAAGGAATTCATTCACCATGTCCCATCGGCAGGCAAGTGTTCAGCCATCTCCAGGAGAGCAGGGCTCCACCAAACACAGCAGTTACTTGGGAAAACAAACGTCGTAATTCCAAGCATCCACCCTTTCTTTCTTCTTCCCCCAGTTTTATTCCTGAGCATGACATCATATGGTATGGGATACCCTTTGGCGAGTTGGGGTCAGCTGTCCTGGCTGCGTCCCCTCCCAGCTTCTTGTGCACCCCCAGCCTGCTCGCTGGTGGGGTGAGGAGCAGAAAAAGCCTTGGTGCTGTGTAGGCAGTAACTAAAACGCCCCCGTATTATCAATGCTGCTTTCAGCACAAATGCAAAACATAGCCTCCTACTCGCTACTATGACGAGAATTAACTCTACCTCAGCCAAAACCAGCACAGCGTGCTGACCCCAGCTTTTGTGTTATGCTCTCTTCTCCTGACTTGCATGGGTTTGTGTATTAATGAGAAAGGCTTGGTGTTCCAAGGCATGAACCAAAATGCCATCAATGAGATTTTGCCTGCATTTGGTTACACGAGCATCCATTGCCATCCTGAGCCTAGTAACTGCCTTCTGCAGGGCGCCACCAAGCTACAGAGGGATCTTAAAGAATTCCTATACACCAGTGCCTTTAAATTGCTTATTTCTCTTAGAGACAAGAGCTACCACCAGCATTTAGTTGCTCTCTTAAATGCAATTTGCTCATGCTCTTGTAAATTGAAGCAGGTTCCCCTTGAAAAAGGTAAACCCAGATCTTAAATGTATTTGTAGCCCCAGCCAGGATGTTCTCCCATCCTGGTACACAAGCAAAATACAATTCCTCTCTCCAGAGCTGAAAGATGTACACAGCATGCTTTCCAGAGAGCCTGAACTCATGATTCACCCCCTCCCAGCTGCAAACTCCATCAGACTCTGCACAGAAGTACTGTGAAGGCACTCATTGCAATCAGTGCTTATGCTATGGTTTCCGTAAGTGTTTATAACCCCTGGGTAAAGTCTAATTCAGAAGTTGAGTCTCCTACTTTTCCTGAAGAATAATCAAAACAATTCAGATCAGAAGATCTTCCCTTACCCCAGGTTATGCTTCAGCAGACATCCAGGACTTCCCTTACATCAGCTTACACCTCCATACAGCATAAGCACCACCACTGCTCAGACTGCCATGAAGAAAAGCCCCTCCAAATCACAACCCCACTAGTACAGCCCACCCCAAAGCCAATCAGCCAACAGCCTGTTAAATGAGTGCAGACAGATCAGCTTCATAGCAAACAGAATAAAATAATTAATTTGTTAATAATTATTGATGACCAACAATTGTTAAAACTACACCTTCACAAAAGTTTGTGAAAATCCATACTAGTAGAATGACTGGCTCATAGCGGAAGTCTCCTGGATAGTTCCCAGTTCAGAGACCAGCTACCCAGAAGCTGCACAAGGTGCCATCTGTGCTGGCAAATGCTCCTGCCAGGTTAGAAGCTCCAGACATTGCTTCAGTGAATTCCTCATGCTCCAGCCATAGCTCTTCAGGGTACTCACACCAGACCCATTTGCTGCACAGCTATATATAAGGTACATGGGTGAAATACACGTACACCACATCTCCCTTCCCAGACAGGCTCACTGAACAGGTTCCAACAGAGCACTCCAGATTCCTCAGCTTAGTTTGATGACAAAGGCCTGAGCAGTACTAGGTGCGTGATATTAACATTTTGGCTTGAATGAGGTATAGTGTGGAGAACAAGGCAAGCTTTATAACTGAGATTAAGGTAAAATACTTCCCCAGGGCAATGTGCAACAAGCTCTACATTTGTAAGAGTCCAACATCTATTTCCCACATGAGCTTCAGTGTTGCTTTGCAACACTTATAAATCCTCAGGACAAGAGAAGTCCGCTGCAGTAGTCCCTAGCTGCAAAAGAACTTCTCAGCTCAACTGCTCCTGACTTACGAGTTAAGAGTTCTTGAATTAACCCATTTCATTGATGAGACTGTTGTCCAGGTACATTAGAGGCAATTTCTGCCAAGGGTGCAGCTTTCCAACCAGATAAGTTTCTGCAGAGCCATCACAAGGACAAGCTGCCTACAGGCTCTTCAGCAGCTCCTATTCTTCATCACTTGCTGAAGCCATCACCCTCACTCCCTGACCTTCTCTGCTCAGGCCATGCTGCACAGCCTATGACATGGCATTAGCACATGCCTGAGCAAAGATGCACTACTGCTTGGTCACAGTGAGCGCAGCACTGCAAAAGCATCACATTCCTGCCCACTGCAAGCACTGCCCATGGGCAGCAGCTGGGAACAGCACTGCTGCTTGCCAAGAAGGAAGAGGGAATGGACAGCATCGCTTCTGCATGGTGCTCAGTCACTTCAAGGACCTGCCTCCCTCTAAAGGAACCCCTCCTCTCCTAAAGGAGCAGCAAAAGCATGAAATCAGAGGCAGAGGACTCATTACAGCAATGTAGTGAGGAAACTTTATTTGGAAACATGGTAGAACTTTTTAACCCAACACTGGGTGCACAACTCTGATGCCGGAGCATACGCAGTTACTACTGAAACACAGGAGTGTTTCGGACAATTGCTGTAATAAAACACAAAATTCTCATACTCCAATACCAGGACACTACAGCAATCTTTAGAATCAAAGTTACATCCAAGGAATTCTCTGCACTTACAACTGACCCCACAGTGTAATCTACCTATATATAAGATTAATATATATAGCATGGGAAATTGAAAATCCTTGCTCCATAGATGTATGAACATGTCAAGTCTTTTATAAACAAACATCCAGTGAAGAGAAAAAAATTACATTTCTAGTTCTTATTTATACATAAAGTACTAACAGCAATGGGTGGAAAATTGAATACAGGCCACCCCAAGCCAGGCAGCAGGCTTGGAGCAGCCCATCCAATTTAATATTGAAGTACACACACAACAGACAAGTCACTAACATACATTGCGCATTTACAAGAGATCAACTACCAAACTGGGACAACTGTACAAACTGGAAAGACCATTTTCATTCTGGAACTTTTTTTGAACATGGATTTGTTACATCTCTTTACATCATACCGCAACGTTTACTTTGTGGAGAGGATAAGGGCAACAATGAGGCCATAGAGACCCAAGACTTCAGCGAAGATCAAAATCAGGATCATGCCCACAAATAACCTGGGCTGCTGTGCTGTTCCCCGTACACCTGCATCACCCACAATGCCAATGGCAAAGCCAGCAGCCAGACCACTGAGGCCCACACTCAAGCCAGCACCCAGCTGTAGAAAGCTCCTGTAGGATAGAGATGAAAAAGAGTTTCAGTGGCAAGCAACAGGACACCCAACCCTTCAACTTCAGGCTAGCCCTTTTTTCCTCTGCTCAAAACAAGGAAGAATTAACATTTAAAGGGAACCTTTATACTTCTATAGTCTCTAAGCAAGCACGGTACGTCTCACAAAACAGATGCTTCCTGAGACTCCTAGCTCCAATACTTAAGAACGGGCAGCTATGCACAATCTTCAGCTGATACTCAGGTATGGCTCATTCACTACACTAAATTATGGGCCTGCAAGTTCACATGGCCACCCAGCTTGTCTGTAGCCACTCCAGGCAGCTGCAGGCTCAGCTGTAGGGGAACTCAGCATGCTGCCAACAGCTGTACTTACTCCAGCCATGGAGCTGGCACTTGCAGTAATGCCTGTCCCACAGCACTGTGTAGCCTGAGAACAGCTGCTTTCATGTCCCACCTTTAGCAACCTTGTTATACAGCCATAGCACATCCAGCTGATGATCAGGTCTCTTGTGCTGCCAGGACTGGTCTGGTGTTCTAGGCAGGGCTACCCAAGGAGCAGTCCCTATCAGTATCCAGCAAACTGCAAAAGAGCCTTTGTACTTGCTGCTGATTAGATCATGGCTTATCAGGCCAACCACGCTGCTCATCAGCTACAGCTTGTACAGCAGACATCTACTCATTAGACATCAAAAGCATTGTTTTATTCTGAGAGGTCTCAATCAAGCCAGTTCCAGCTATTCTCAAAAGCCAGGAACAGATTAAGTTTCAGACTGTAGCTGGTAGAGGCCCAATGTATAGCGTGAGGATTGATTTACCAGCACAGGAAGCAGCAAGCAATATTAATTATTCACTTGCATCTCCCAGGCAACAAGAGAACTATTTAGGCAATCTGATTAGACTACCTCGGAAAGACTGTATTCCACAGGTCTAGAATTTGGCACCACGACAGCAGCTCGGCCTTCCACCCCAGCACTGCCTGTACACGGTTTCTTTCAAGCCATTGAATGCCTGATCTATTAGCTAACAGAGCAAACTAAACAGGTTGCACTAGCACTGAAGCTAAGGCATGAGGTAGGACAGCTGAAATCCAGTCCATACTCTTAAGGCCAGGTTGGGAGCATGGAGCACTGACAGTCCTTCCAGGAGTCTTGAAGAAAACTCACCCATTTAGCACCATCAAAATAGTGACAGGACAAACAAACAATACTGACAGATGCAGCAACTTACTTGAATAGCGTGATAGAAGGTGAGACAGCATTGGCAATGAGGACTGCCACTACGAGGCCATAGATAGCTATAATACCCGCCATGACAACAGGGATGATTGACTTCATTATGAGCTCAGGCCTCATGACAGACATGGCTGCAATACCCATGCCACTCTTTGCTGTTCCATACGCAGCTCCGAAGGCTGGAAGAGAAAAAAAAAAGCATTAGACAAATCTCCCAATACCTCCTCCTTCACTAGGCTCCAAGATTAAAATAGTTGAGTCGGCACAAGGAAGAATATTCCCATAAGAGATGAGGAAGTGACCTATCCAGAGTTCTAGACCAAAGCAAGATCAATAAAAAGGTGCTGCTCAAACACTACTGGTAACAGAATACCCTCTCTAAGCTAACTTGACAGCAGTGTGTACGCCCCAGCAATGTTTAACAAGTCACCTTCATGGGGCCTCTTCTATAAAACCTACCTGGCTATGCTTTGGCCTGGGGTCAAACATGCCATTTCAGCTTCATCACAGACTGACATAGCAACAAACTCACATTACTGCTACAGTTCTCAGAGAAGGAACACCCTCTCCATGTGTCAGTAATCTCATCTGTGAAGGACTGAGGTCCAAACACTTGTTAATCCAACACTGGAACCAAAGTGGAGTACGGCTTGTAGGTTAGAGAAGACCACAACCACCTTACCCCTAAGGCTCACTGATCACTGTGTGAACACTTGAGCATGCAGAGACCAACACAGAAACCCAAAGCTTGGTTTTTCAGAGGAGAACATGGGCTCATCACCTCCAACCAAGAACTGCTAGAGTCCCAGAGCACTACACCAAGAACTTCTGCCTTGAAAACTTTCTATTAGCCTCACAAAAGCTTCCACAAATATCTCACTCTTTGATTCTGAAGTACTTGCAAAGAACCCTTTCCTTCCAACCCTGCTCTGGAATACTCCAGGAACTTAACTCTGGACTGCACTCACCCTTACTCAAGAGATGACACACTAGTCCTTGAAGCACCACTGCAAGGTGCATGGAAGGGTTGTCTCCTCCTCAGATACTCCAAGGTAACAGTCCTCTTTAGCATGAAAATGCTCACCTGATCTAAAAGGCTACTGGAGAGTATTAAAACCAGGGGGATTTAAAATCTTTGTACTGTTCAGAAACCTACAATTTGAGTTTGCTCCACTCACCTAAAAACTGAGGTTTCTCCAAGGGAGAGCTGCTTGTTCCACAGAGATCTGTAGCTGCCTCTTACACCAGCATCCAAGTATGAGATGTTGCACCTTGCTCAAAAGAGCTGCTGGGAGGCAGTCAAAGGCTTTAGGAGACAGGCTTTATGTAAATGCTGAGCAAGAAGCAGGAAAACATCTCAGAGCAGTCAAGAACTAAGCAGTAATCCTCCTGGCTTTGCACTAAAACTTCAGAAGATTATAATAAAGATAGCACCGCTGGCTTAACACAGACTTACTATCAGAAGGAAGTTCAGTTTTAATTACAAAAACTTGAAGGTAAAGCCTCATTAACAACTCCAAATTGGTTCTGCACCAATTTGGTGCAAAGCTCTTGAACCTTGACTGTCATTGAGCCAGGTGTAAAGGGCTGTTCCCTGCAATTCAGAACTAGAATCCACCTTAGCAGGAAGCCTGAGCCAAGAGCAGAAGACACACTTTACCTGCAAATGTAAGCTGAGCCTGGAAACTAGTGCACAGACTTAGCTATGAATATCAGCAACAGTACTGTTTAAGGGTCTAGCCCCTAGGAAGTCTAGAAATAAATCACTAACTTGAATGAGGAACCTTTTCAGTTGGATGAAGCATCTTCTAAGGACTAGAAATAAGTGGAACCAAGATTCAGGCTACCAAGCCTTCTAGGCTGGCTGTAGCATTTAGCAGAAACCATTTATCTTGTATGGAAACTTTTATAAATCTCCCCAGAAACAGAGGCAAATGAGGGAAGTTCACTACTTAAAATTAGAGCAGTCATTACTTCCTCCAAGTCTGAAGTTACTTAAATGTGCTGCAGTTAATGCAGTGATGCATTACCAAAATGATTTTGTAATCCCACTTACAGAAAGCCAGCCTGCTTAAGCTTTTTGGGAGGGACAGATCAGTACAAGTTTATCAAGTCCCAGTTGTTAAACCCCAATTCTAGTGAACACACAAGATCTTATGCCTTGAAATTGGTCTAGACAAATTAACAAATAAAGCCTACATGTACTCTGCAGCAGTTAGTTGTCACATTAGGTTTAGATCACACTGAAGAGCTATTGCACTCCCACTGGCAGACAGTCACAGGTGCTTCAGAGCTTGGCACATCTGCTCCCAATGAAGTCTTCATCAGTATCCTGACCAACAGTCTTACACTAGAGCCCTCTGCAGCTGCATCTCCAGTATCTTACAAGGCAGCTTGCCTCACTGCTCTTCACTAGCCTGAGAAGTTTTCCTTGCACTTTTGACAACACCCCAATATTACAGTCCAGGCAGCAAAGATTATCTCCGTTCCCACCACAACGCAGCCATCTGAAGGCACAGCTACTCAGTTATGGGCTGTCTGGCACTTAGGTCAATCCTCCTGCACATCTTGACTTGTACCTCTTGGCAGCTGTGAACATTTGAAGCACTTCTGCTACCTGTAAATACCCCTGATGAGTTGTGGAAGGACATGTTTTCCAAAATATTCTCAGTGAATAGTGTCTGACGTGGAAGAGTGAAAATGGCACAAGAGCTGCACCATTATTATACATCAGGACTCCATGTATTTGCTTCAGATTATCAGACCAATTAAGCTGCAACACTACCTTTAAAGCATACAGAGCTATCAAAACTTTTATCTGTCAGCTGGAGAAGCACTTCACCAATTTAGCTTTATCAGAGAAGGAAGCCACTTTGGTCTATAATCAGGAACCATGCCATTTGTAAGTCCAATGGAGTTATAATACAGAGAAGTTGCTTTACACATCACTCAAGACCACCTACTCTCAGTAAGCCTGTTTCAAAGGTTAACTTGATTTTGAAATACTTAAGAGTAACCGCTTGAACTCACAGGCCAGCGTTGATTTAGCACTGCTCCTGGGGGCAAAACGCACTCCCACAGGGCTGTGGATATGCTGCCTGGCACCTCACTTTCTAATTGTCAAAAGCAGTAGCAGAGGCAGTGCAGTGTGTGGCTCCAAGATGAAGTAGAAACTAGAAAGTAACTTGCCATACAGGCTATAGCTTCAGTAAGGATTGAAGACCAGTCTTGCCACTGCCAGGACTCTCAGCCGAGCTTTGCCTCTGATATTCACTGTCAGTAATTAAGCAGGCTGCTCTTTAGATCAAGTGCTAGTTTGATTATTAGGAGCAATCTTTGGTAGCTATAGTTACAGTGCTCAGTAAGGTCACGCACCAAGAAAGTTAATCTTGCAGATAAGTTAGCTGCAAGTCACCTTGTGCAACACTCCCTCAATATAAAAAGACCAGTACCAAAAGCCTCACATCAGTTCTGTGGAGCTCTGCAGACAAACGCACACCTACGGACAGTGACCACGTTCTCAGGAGCCTTCAAGTCAGGGCACCATTTGCATAGATGCAGTTTCAGCAGCTGCAATACATTCAGCCATGCTCAGCCCAGAGTACAGAAGTCCAGAACCAGCCACACACACTCATTTGATCCACCCAGAGCCAGTGGTTCCTCCTGTGGCCCATCACGAAGGAGCAGGTTTTCACACTGCAATGTGTAGAAGACTTCCAGAGCTCTAACAGGCAGAATTTGCCTGCATTAAGAAGTGAGATAATAACTCCAGTTAAAGTTTCAATTAAGATACCATGGGTTACTATCACAGCCAAAGACCTTTCTGGATGAGTACTTGCATCTAGAGCCTTTTGTAATTAATCTGTTATCAAATGGGCTGCCCTCTGCAGTAGGTAGGCTTCCCTTGAACCTGACAGCAACCATCAATCCACCTCAATGCCTGTTCATCCTGGAGCACATTGTTCTTTAATGGTTGGAGAACTGCTGGAGGTGATATCCAGGTCAAGTAGAGTCCTTGCTTTGCCATGCTAGAAACCGGGGCATTTTCAAAGAAAGAGGCTTCTCCCCACTGGTTTTCTAAGGCCCCTCCCACACCACCACATTTAACACAAACACAGCTCTACCTCAGGTTACAGTAACAGATACCCCATGGCTCTCTTGGAAAAACCCTGTTGCTATGCCCAGTTGCATCTCTGCAGAAGGGACAGCCACATGAGTGGACCTGTATCTGGAGCATACACCAACTCGGATCACACCAACTGCAGACAGGCTACATTCCCCCAGTGACAGCTGGAGGGGTAAACAGACAAACTGCCCTCAAGGAGGCTGTAAAAAGCTGTAGTGAGTCACTGGTGTAGGGTTAGGGACAGCATGCTTTTTGTTCTTCCCTGATGTTATGAGAGGGTGTGGGGATTTTGAACAGCCTAGCACTGTCAGCTTACAGCATTACCAATAACAGTCCGCAAGGCCAGCAGGCCACTTCCTCCTGTTCAGTAAGCTCCTCAAGGAGCTGCTGCAACAGAGCAGTCTGAAGAAAAAGGAGTTTGTCAAGCATCCAAGCAGCTGGGACTGCTGCAATTATTAGTACTCTGGATTGTCTGACATAGCACACAAAGCCAATTTTTTGGAAGTACAGTAAGGCTGACACTTTACAGAGTACAGGCTTGCTCTTCTACAAGCAAAGTCAAGTCACTTGTCATTTATCATCATACAAGCTCCCCTGCAGCCCTAAAGACAGCCCATTTCACAGAGCTGGCAGACCCTTGTACTCCAGGTACTGACCAGCCGAGCAGTTTGTTACACTAGTTAGCAGGGGCCACTTTCCCCTAGTTGGTCTAACAGCAGCTTACACTGCTCACCAGTAGGCATCCACAGCTAAGCTGCCTTGTTTCTGAAGCATGGGAAAGCCAAGGTCATCTGACTGCATCCAGCAGACACGCCTGTGGCCAGACCAGCCTGACTTGAAGCCTTGTGCTCACAAGATTCACAGGCTGAAGGAAGCAATTTCAGCAAGTTATGCCTCACTGTTTGGTGAGGACAGTAAGCAGGGGGAAGCATGCACTTGTGCAAAACCATTGTTTCAAGCATCACTGAACAGTCTGAAGAATCAACCACTCTTTGAAGTAGTCAGGCTGTGGACAGATAGAAGAGGCAAGATTTAGGAGGAGAAAAA